AATGAAAATCTTAGCATCCTCAGCTCCGCCTCTTGTCGTCTTGTCAGCGCCATCGTCTCACTGCGGTCTTCCAACCATTAAACTCATCACCACCTACCCACCGCCCGCTCTCTCGTCTCCATTTCTCTTCTGCACTGGTTTTCATATAAATTCACTCCCTTACTACCTCCACTCCTTGCATGTTGATATTTCCATAAATAGATAAAAATAAAGTATAAATAAAAAATAAGAATGAAATCTGGGCCGACCTGGACCTCTGGGTTTTCCACGCAGTAGGTGACCCAGTCTGAAGATCACAGCTCTTTCGTGTTCCCTCACTACCTGTGAATCAACATGTGGTTGCTCAAGTGTCAGTTTGATATTCAACACAAAGCAGCCTATCTTCTAAAGACATGTCAGATCTTTGCAGGATCAGAGGTTTAGTTCGTACTTTGACACAGAACCAGATGGAAAGAGGGAAGAAGAGGAGAACCAGAGCCAAGACGAAGACCATCAGCAGCCACTCACAGACTCCCAGCTTCTTATGCTTCAGACCTGAAAAGATCAACAGCCTTTCATGAAGAAGTCTCATCACATTTTCAGATATGAAAAACATATGTTTAAAAAATAAAAACACTTTGACTCACTGTCATCCTGCTCTGCTGCTTCCAGGAGCCCCACATTCTCATCCTTGACTTCATTATCTCTCACACTGTCTATATCCACCACCGTTGATTTCAACTTCACGTCTGTCTCTTGCTCCATCTTCCCCACATGCGTCCCCAGCTTCTCTTTCCTCACCGATGATGCTTCAGAGAGCTGCTCCACCTTCGGCTTCCTCCTCGGAGCCTCTGAGGCTCCCCTGACCCTCTCCTTCCTGGCCGTCATTCTGGATCTTGGTGGGTGATTGGAGGACTTCTCCATGCTGGCTGCATGCTCTGCAGAAAAATTGGAGGGATTTCTTCCTTGTTTTCTCTTTTTCCAGGTTAAAGAAAAATAAATTTTGTGATTACTGGGAGATGCTTCCCCTCTCGCTGGATGACTGATCAGCAGTACTGCTGTCTACTGTGGACATGGGACAGAGTCTGTCCCTGTAATTAAAGCTGGGAGCGTGGGAGTACAGGACAACAGTGAGGGGTGTCCTTACCACACTCTTTTTTTAAATTGTATGCCAGTAAACCTTTGCTTTGCCAGTAAGACCATCCAACTCTCCCTTTTCCCCATAGAGGGCCCATTAAAGACAGACATAGGCTTTATTAATCCCACACTGGGGAATTTCACATGTTACAGCAGCAAGAATGAAATTAATTCGAGATAAACTACAAAAATAACAACTTGAAAAACATAAATAAGAACAAATGCTTTAGCAAAAATGATATTCAAGTTATAAAATGATAAAACTGATGCAGCATCAAGGGTTTGACTTTTTTAAATCCACACATTTTCCTCTGGAGATAAAAAAAAAAAAAAAAAAAACATCTATACATGTTTGTTTATGGTCCACTAAGACTCCACTAATTAACGTGTGGCCTGCAGTGTAAAGCTGAATTTAATGCTGTTAATATTTAACCACATGCATGCAGATGGAAACTTGTTTAGGTTACGTCTCTTCTGCGGTAAAGTCAACACCCCACGGAGATATGTGGAGAAGTGAGGTTTTTACTGTTTGGACTAATTATCCCAATGAAGCTCACACTGAGTGTCTTATACAGGAATGTGCAGACGCAGGTCTGAAAGAGCTTTCTTTGTTTGGAAAGTTAAAGACATGCTGTAACCTCCCTGACTTGTGCTTAATTAAACTCAAACCTTATTGCGTGGCCCTCTTGAGGCGTGGAAAAGTCACTTGTATTTTTTCACAAAGAAGACATAGCTGACTACAAGAGTGACCAGATAGCTACAGAGTAAATGTGGGGTGAGAGGCAGTTTGAGGTGAGGGAGTCACACTCCTGACAAAGTGAACACAGTGAGGATAAAACACGGAATCTTCGTATCCTCGTGTTCTCTCGTTTTAAACACACAAACCGTAAAAACTGTTGTCATCCACGTTCTGGTTTGTGTTTCAGGCTGAATGGTTGGTTTTGACCTGTTCAACCTGCTTCCCTCAGGTAAGCGCTACAGGTGCATCAGACTCAAGGCCATAACCACCCTGAACTCACACATGCACTGACAACACAGTTCCATTCACCAACCCACTTTGCTCTATACACAGACACCACAATAACCCACACTGTAAATATATAAGACTATTTATTTGTATATTTTTACGTTTTATATTTTTGAATAGGGTTCATATGCTGCAGAGCCGTGCACCTCACCGCCCTTTCTCTTCCCACATGTCTGCACTGAGTGGGGATGCTCTGTATCTCACTGTACACCTGAATAGTGACAATAAAAGGCATTTTATTCTACTCTATGAACCCATCCATTCGTCTTGTGAGTCTCACAAATGACAAAACTGGAAAAACGTCTTTTGGCTTTTTGTAAATCAAACTGTGGTGGACAGTTTCGGTACGTGGGTGGGACAAAGTGCTCTGCGCCCCACCTGTACGTGCGGTGCTTCTTCTTTGTTGTTGTGGGACCAGTGTCAAGTAAGGAGTAACAGTTTATTAGCTAGGCAGCTAACTAAAACGGCTTTCGGCTTCTTCGAATTTAAAGTTGTTGGGGTTTTTTTTGTTGTTGTTTGTTTTGTTTTTTGCTTTGGCAACTGAATTTGTATCGTTAGCAAGTCCTGCTAGGTAGAGGCGTGCGGAGAGAGAAGGTTCGGCCCCTCGCAGCTACAGACAGGTGAGACTGTCCTGTTAGCATTTTGATGCTTTTTGGTAACTAAACCTTAGGCTAAAGATGCTTTTGGAACGATTTTAAAACAAGACAAGACAGTTTTTTTAAGACTGTGCATTAATGTTCTCCTGCGACTTCTATGTTTCTG